GCGCCGAGTCCCTGGACTCGGCTTGCCCGGGCTCCGTGGCCCAGGCGCCCCGACGCGACCCAGCTCGGAGCCCGGCGGCCGCCTCTGCGGCTGCCAGCGTGTGCGGCGTCCACAGTCCGCGCCAAGGCGCCCCCACACGCCTGATCCTCACCCCTGCGTGGAGATGCCCTTGACCTTGCTGTGGCCTTTGGCCAGCCCACCGGCTCCCCCGACCCCAGCTCCCAACTCCTGGCGTCCGGGGCTCGGCTGTCTGTCCTCCGTGCAAGCTCCCTGGCTCACCCCCCACTCGCCACCGGCCGGGCCTGTCCCCTGCCTGTCCCACATTGGCTTCCCCAGCCGGTGCCCCACCTTTGCGTGGCCACTTCTTGCACCCTGGTTGTCGCCAGGGTTTCCACATCCTCCCGTCCCCTGTGCCTGTCACAGCCCTTCCACCTCCCGCTTCTGGTACACTTCGAGCGCCGGTTCCTCGACGCTCGCCTGGGTCACCACCCTCCCACCCGCGCCCGCTCTAAGACACGAGTCTGCCTTTCCAAGTCTGGCTTGCTCCAGGACCTCCTGGGCTAGCACCGCTCCTCCTCCCCTGACATTCCTCCTCACTCCCACTCCCGGCTCCAGTCGGACCAGTGCGGGGCTTTAGCACATGCAGTTCCTTTTGCTTGAATGCCCTTCCCCGGCATTTCCCCGTGGACTTCACAACTCGGCCAAGGATCCCTTTTTTCAGGTCTTTCCTGACATCCCGGATAATGCGTGTCATCCCCTAGGTGCCCACGGCACTCCGTCCTCCCCTCAGGTGACTTCTCGTCCAGGGTACCCTCGGATGCACGGTCGTGGCCCATGGCCGAGGCTGGGCCTGGAACGGAGTCGCGTTGGCGAGGGAAACGAAGGGGCCCACATTTGGCGTAGGGAAGTTCCGGGAGCCCCCTTCCAATGCCGGGTGCCGCCACCCCACTGCCCCGGGCGTCCCTCTCGGCCCCCTCCCCCAGCCAGGCCGGCTCCTACCCGGGAGCACGGCACACGTTGCGGCCGCGAGGGTTCAGTTCCTGGGGCGCCACGGGGTCCGGCAGTATCCAGAGCAGCAGTAGCAGCAGCAGCGACGGCAGCAGCGGTGACGGCGGCCCCCCGGCTCCCCGGCGCCGCGCCGGCCCGGCCCCCCGGGGCCCTGCGCCCTCCATGAGGCGCGGGGCAGGCGCGGGGCAGGCGCGGGGCGGGCACGGGCGCGGGTGCGGCCGCAGCGACAGCGGCCGGAAGCGGAGTGCGAGGCCGGGCGGGGGGCGGCAGGAGGGGCGCCGGGCCGGGCAGGAAATTCCACATCGGCTCCCTGATCCCGGGCCAGCCGCGGCCGGCCAGGCGGCAGCGCCCGCCCCGCGCGCCAGACCCCACCCTCCGGCCTAGCCACCGCCCCTCCGCGCAGCCCCCGCCCCCATTCGGCCGCTCGCAAACTTGGGGGCGAACTTGGAGGAGGCCCGCCGAGCGCTGCGGGAAGGAGGGGCCGCCCGAGGAATCCCCGGTTCCCGCGCCTTTCCGTCCGCTCCCGAAACATCTACCGAAGCAGCCGCCCCCGCGCGCCCACTGCGTAGCCAGGCCCGGGACAGGAAGGCGGATGGGGGACACGGCCGCGACTCCACAAGCCCACCCCCGCCCCCAGCGCCTCGGAACCGGCTAAGGGAGTGAGGCCCTCAGACAGCCCAGGTCGAGGCCGAAAGCCAACTCCACAGCACCCCACCGCGAAGTCCTTGTAGTGCTGAGATGTGCGGTCAGCTCCCCCTGCGCACTCCTGCGCACTCAAAACTCGCAAGGGGCGGACCGAGCAGGATGCTTGAGGCCTGTGGTAGACTGGGTCCGGACCCGAGGCCTGGGGGAAGGGGTCTCCGTAGGGACGGATGGGAGAGATGCAGAGGAGGTAGAATGGCCCGGCTGTGGACTGCGGTAGGAAGAAGTAGACAGAAGGAGACCCCCGGGATGGAAACCCTGCAATCCTAGTTGAGGAGTGAAGGGGGCTCGGGGAGTCTGGGCAGTGGGTTCTGCTGGCTGTCGGATTTCCAGGAGAGGTTGGGGCTGGAGTGGGAACTCCTGCATCAGGCAAGGTGGGTAACAACACAAAGCAGAGGGAAGGTGTGGGAAGGGAGCAAGACAGAGGGACAGGCCCTAGGGAGCCAGCGGGGAAGCTGGACTTGGACTGGGAAGCAGCAGGGTGCAGGTCCCCGGGCGGGGGCAACTGGGGCAGACCCACTCTCAGGTCCAAGGAGTTGAGAGCTTGGGCAGGGAGCACAAATGTCCCGTGTGTAGCCAGGTCCTAGTGAGGATGTCTTTTGGGGACTTGGGAGCTGGCAGAAGGCCTGAGCAGGGAGAGGGCACCTGTGTTCTTTGGGGAGCAGGCCACATGCGGCCCACAGGCTCACTGAAGAAGGGCAGGCAGACTCTCTCCAGGTGTGGCCAGATAGCCATGAAAGGTGGGGCTGGAGAAGGGGGCTTGGAGGAGGAGCCACTGAAAGGCCCAAGGCCACAGGTATCACCAGGCTGGTACAGGCAGAGAGTGGGATGGGGAAGAGCAGGCTCCTCACTCAGCCATGTTGGTGCACGAGGGAGGTGGGGTGGGCTGAAAGAGAAGTGGAACCAGTGTGGACACAAATGCAACAACTTGGGGACAAATAAACAGGCCAACCACTTCTGGGCAGCTCAGCCTGGGCACAGCCCTGACCTCAGCAGTGCCCTCCCAGTGCTGGGGCCCCTCCCACGGAGGATCCAGATTACTGCTCCCAGTAAAGGCCAGCAGAGGTCCCAGTGGCTGCAGGGTCTATCCCAGCCCAGCTCCCGGCTTTAGAGGCACTGAACCCCTGGGCTGGAGGGGACACTCACCTCAGCTGGATGGAGGTCATGAACAGGCATATCAAATTCCATCACCTTTCTCCTTCCCCCAGACCTGTTCCCACCCCCATGTGCCACCTCTGTACAGGAAGGGCACCACCTGGATGGTGCCCCCCCAATCCCTCAGGACCTCCTAAATGTCTCAGATCTCTGCCCACCCCTGTTTGTCACCCAGAGTAGTCTTCTTAATCTCGCATGTGGCTATCCACCAATGCTCTCAGGACAAGCATCGTCCCCAGCCTCACCTCATGACCTGATGCATACATCCCTTGCAGTGGATGGCAACTTTGGGTGTCATGGGCAGAGCCCTCATTTGTCCCAGCCACCACTGCACCCCTGGGGGAAGACTGAGAAGTATGGGAGGAATGAAGGATCATCCACGTGGCACCAGGATGTAGAAGGAACCCACAGACAATTGACCACCACACAGGCAAACTGCTGGAGCCTGGAGCCCTGGCCTGCTGGCTTTGGCCAGGATGGCTGCCAGAAGGAAGTGGACCTTGAAGGCTGAGGAGGGTTTTGCGTGAAAGCGGGGACCAGGAGCCTAGCCACACTGGAGAGCACAAGTTGGGTTGCCTCAGCTCAGGGGTATGAGATGTAGCCCTTAGAAACCCAGCTGCGCCCCAAGGCCGACATTGGCAGGGCCAGGCTGCGCCCAATTCCAAGGCACTCTCCACTCCTCCCCAGGCTGTGCAGGACCTCAGTGAGCCCTTCCTGCTCCTGCAGACCAGAGGCCTCCTGCAAACCTGTGGCTGTGGCTGGTGGCTCAGGTGAGATGGTGCCAGCCAGCATGGTGTCAGAACACACTGGAGAGTGGTGGGGCATGTCTGGTGCTCCTTTCCAGAACCCTCTGAGGTCTGCAGGAGCTACTGCCCTGGCCTGCCAGGTGGTAGCAGAGATACAGGAAGTGCTGGATCTGAGACCCACAGAGTGGGGTTCCTACTCTGAACCCCACCCTCGGGAGAAGGGAGATGACACTGGAGTGTGTAGCCATCCTGCCCCACCGGGGCTCAACACCGGGTCTGCTGCCCTAAGGCGATGTCATGTTTCCTCAGGGGTACTCAGGGCCCAGGACAGTGAGGAAGGTCTTCAGGTCTCACACACACCCACATACCACAGCCCTGGAGGCACAGGCCAACTCCGAGGGATTTGCCTCTACTCTCAAGAATCCTTGGGGTATCCATTTAGGAGAGCCCAGAGTGACTGATGATCCCCCCTCCCCATCCCCTCTCCTCCCATCAAGCAGCACACTGCCCCCTTCTCTTCTGGGACAGGATGCCAGCAAAAACACATGGCTGTCCCCATGCACTGCCCAGTCAACTGGGAGAGGATGGGGCCTTGGCCAGTTACAGCCCTGTCTGCAGGATGGCTCTGGGCACAAGGCCCATAGTAGGAGTCTGCAGGTGCAGACCCTGTGAGGGCATCTAGATGGAAGAAAGCTTCGGGTGGTGCAGCCCTGTGGTCACGCTGGTGTGGACTCACAGCCCATCCATGCAGGGTGCAGGCTAAGCCTGGTGGTCTCAAGAGGGCAAGAAAAGCACCGGGACAGGTGAAAAGGGGAGGGTCCCAGATGCTGTGCCAGTGTGGTCCTTGAGACTGGGTGTCTAAGGGTTACCTGGAGAACCTGTAGCACATGCAGATCCCCTCCCCAGCACACTCAGCTTTAGGAGGTTGGGAAGAGCCGGGCACAGGCCAGAGGGGCCACCCTCCATGCCCCTGTGATGCTGCCCCGCTCCCAGGTGCTGAGGCTCTGGCTCCCTGACCCTCTCAGGCTGAGAGACTCCTACCTGGAGCTGAACTGAAATTCTGCGTGCTGCCCTGGTTGGGAGACAAGTTCCACACCAGAAAAGACACTCAAGTGGGCTACACAACCACCTGTCACCAGACCAGGGCAAGTTCCAGCTTTCCCACTGACTGCCCTGTTAGCCTGTGGAGTTGACTGTGCTTCCCTCTCAGGCAGGGTCTTCCTAGTGCCACTTGGCTTCTGGCCTGGGCTTCCACAGCCTCCCAGACGGCAGCTCTGACCCCAGAAGCCACACTTCCCAGGGATGCAGCTTGGATGCACTGTGGAAAGGAACTGAGGCTGTGGCTACAGAAAAACAGTTAACACCTTCTGTAAGATGCTTTATTTCATTGATCAACAACATGGGGTCTGAAAACCCAGCGGGAGGGGTCTTTTTATCACAGAGCCAGTCCCAGGAGAGCTGATGCATCTCTGCTCCTCTGCCCCTCAGGAGCTCTCATCTTCCAACCCCAGCTACTCCCACAGGCCCACCCCATTCACAGAAAGAGGGCTGCCACGTACCTCAGCCCCCCTGCCCAGGCTGTCAGCTCCCAGGTCCCTTTGGATAAGGACTGATCTAGGCAGGGAGGAAAGAGAAGGCCAACCCCTCCAGGGCTCACTGAGGAAGACCAAAGCCTTTCAGAAGCATTTCCTGCTGTGATGTAATCCACAGGCCGGGATCTGCACGGCCCTGAGATGCCTGCGGCAGGCTGGCCAAGGGGCTGATGTGAAGAAAGAGGGCAGGGCCCCCAAGCTGTGGCCAACAGGGGCAGGGGGCCCTGCCCTGGAGTAAAGTGCTGTGGCCTAGGCTGCGTGGGTTTCACTGCCCTGCAGCCCCAGCCGCCCTTCCCTCTGACACCAGGCACGGGAAGCCTAGTCCTCACTGGAGTTGTCAAACTCCTCCCAGTCAGACACACTCATCACCTCAGAGGCAAAGTCCGGGTCGGCCTGGCTGCGGTCAGGGGTACCGCGGGGCGGCTCGAGGAGCAGGGAGCGAGGCAAGGTGAGCACACAGGCCGCCAGGCCTGAGATGGAGTTGTCCAGCTGGGGCCCCTCCTCCCAGCAGTCCTTCTCCACATCGTAAATGTGCACATAGCCCGTGCGGCTGCCACGGTTGTGTGAGCGGCCACCTAGCACATAGATCCTGTTGTCCAGCACGGCAATGCCAGGCTCACCGTGCCCAGCAGGGAGTGGGCAGACGGAAGACCACTGTCCAGACGTGCAGCTGTAGCAGGCCACCTGCAAAGCCAAGGCCAGAATAAAGCCCAGCACCTGCTGGGACAAGGCTACCAGCTCCCCTACAAGCCCACTGACCAAGGTGGCCACAGCTACCCACCATTCCGACAGGTCAGACCCCCTGGAAGGATGGCACAGGGCCAGTGTTGAAACATCCTGCCCATGGGCTAGGCTGCTGCTCTCTCACTCAGGGATGGCTGAGTCTGCAGGAGCCTGTCTTTTGGGCCCTCCCCTAGAATGATCCGATTCCCTCTGGCTTTACTCGAGCCTAGCCCTTCCTTCAGGCCACCTGGCCCTAAGCCAGTCTCTGCCCTCAAGTGTGTGGCTATGCCCCCATCAGCATGTGGTTGTTCCCCATGTCTGAGGGCACTGCTTCTCTCCCCTCCAGGAAACGGAAGCTGCCTGAGAAACAGGGACTCCACTGAAATGTCTTCAACCTCACCGGCAGCACTCAACACAGGCAGCAGGACAGGGGGAGGAGACAGAAAGTGGAAGTAATTCCTTGCGGAGTAATCAACATCAACATTCTCTTGTCTTCAAAATTGTCCAAAACAGTAAACAAAGACATGGAAAAATGTTCAACCTACTAGTAATTCAAGAAATACAAAATCAAAACATCAGAGACAAATTTTCCAACTATTAACTAGCAACAACTGCAGAGAAGAAAAATCACAAAACCCAATGCTGGTGAGGGTGTGGTAAAGCCATACTACTATGTATCTGTCTGACATGCCAGAAAAGGAATTTGGCAATAAGTATTAAGAGCCATGAAAATCTTATCTTCTTAACTGATTAGCCGTTTTTGGTTCTCTAGCTATGGTGGCAGAATAGTGGCCCCCAAAGATGTCTAGTTTCTAATCTCCAGAATATGCTACCTTAAGTGGCCAAAGGGGCTTTGCAGATAGGATCGAGGGTGCGAGAATACAGAAAAAAAAAAAAAAAAAAGAATTAAGGGTGCAAACCCTGAGATGAGGCAGTTTTCCTGGATTTTCCAGGTGACCCATCCAATTGCATGAGCCCTTAAAAGTGGAAGGGGAGAGGCTGGGCGCAGTGGCTCACACCTGTAATCCCAGCACTTTGGGAGGCCAAAGCGGGCGGATCACAAGGTCAAGAGATCGAGATCATCCTGGCCAACACGATGAAGCCCCATCTCTACTAAAAATACAAAAATCAGCTGGGCATGGTGGCACATCCCTGTAACCGCAGCTACTTGGGAGGCTGAGGCAGGAGAATCGCTTGAACCCGGGAGGCGAAGGGTGCAGTAAGCCAAGAGCACCACTGCACTCCAGCCTGGTGACAGAGCGAGACTCCATCTCAAAAAAAAAAAAAAAAAGTGGAAGGGGAGGCTGGGGGTGGTGGCTCACACCGGTAATCCCAGCACTTTGGGAGGCTGAGGTGCATGGATCACCTGAGGTCAGGAGTTTGAGACCAGCCTGGCCAACATGGCAAAACTCCATCTACTAAAAACACAAAGATTAGCTAGGTGTGGTGGCGAATACCTGCAGTCCTCCCAGCTACTCAGGAGGCTAAGGCAGGAGAATCGCCTAAACCCAGGAGGCAGAGGTTGCAGTTAGCTGAGATTGCACCACTACCCCCCAGCCTGGGTGACAGACCAAGACTCCATCTCAAAAGAAAGGAAGGGTAAAGCCAGACGAGAGAGCTGAGAAGTGAGGAGGACTCAACCTGCCATTGCTGGCTTTGAAGATGAAGCACCCCGAAGCCAGGAAAAGTGGGGACCTTTAGAAGCCAAGAAGGCCCTCAGCTGACAGCTAGCAAGGAAATGGGACTGCAACTGCCAGGGACTGAATTCTTCTAACCACCTGGGTGAGCAAGGAGGCAGATCCCCACTAGGGTCTCCACAAAGGAAAGATGCCCTGACCACACCCTGGTTTTAGCCTGGCAAGGCCCTGTCAGAGGACTTGTGAATGCAGAATACATTTATCTTAAGTTGCTAAGTTTGTGGAGATAGGTTACTGCAGCAATAGAAAATGAATGTGCTGGTCCGGAGGATCTCACAAGCAGAGGGCCTGTTAAAACCCAGATTGCCAAGCCCCACTCTCAGGGCTTCTGAATCAGTGGGTCTGAGGTGCTTCATCACACAGCGTTCCCAGGTGATGCAGACTCTGTTAGTCTGAGAATCACACTTTGAGAACTGTGGCATGAACCTAAGGAAATAATCCAAAATACTTGAAAAGTCCAACAAAGCAACTGTTACTTGTCATAGTAACTATTTGGAATAGTTAAAACTCAGACACAAGAGGGGATTATGAAGATTGAGTGTTAAACTGGAAAATGCCCAGGACAAAAGTCACTGAGAGAAGCAGAATGGGATATAGGATGCTCTTTTTTGTTTGTTTGTTTGAGACAAGGTCTCGCTCTGTCGCTCAGGCTGGAGTGCGGTGGCACCATCACTGAGGTTCACTGCAGCCTCAACCTCCTGGGCTCAGGTGATTCTCTCTCAGCCTCCCAAGTAGCTGGGACTACAGGTGCAAGCCACCATGCCCGACTAATTTTTTTTTGTATTTTTAGCAGAGATGGGGTTTCACCCTGTTGCCCAGGCTGGTATCAATTCCTGGACTCAAGCCATCCACCTGCCTTGGCTTCCCGAAGTGCAGGGATTACAGGCGTGAGCCACTGTGCCCAGCTCAGAACGGGATGCTTTCAGGCAGAAAACATACACAGTCAATACTGAAGATGGTCATATGGAAAAACAGTGCTGCAGGGGCCTGATTATAAATGCTTTTCCTCACCCATCTCTATTTTTTTTTCTTTTTTTGAGACGGAGTCTTGCTCTATTGCCCAGGCTGGAGTGCAGTCGTGCGATCTCGGCTCACTGCAACCTCCGCCCCCCGGGTTCCAGCGATTCTCCTGCCTCAGCCTTCCCAAGTAACTGGGATTATAGGCGCCCACCAGCGCACCTGGCTAATTTTTGTATTTTTAATAGAGATGGGGTTTCACCATCTTGGCCAAGCTGGTCTTGAACGCCTGACCTAGAGATCCACCCACCTCGGCCTCCCAAAGTGCTGCAATTACAGGCGTGAGCCACCATGCCTGGCCACCCATCTCTATTTTTTAAAGTTCCTGCAATGTGGTTATATTAACTTTATAATAAAAGTTTTGTTCTTTTGTTTGTTTTGTTTTGTTTTTAATAGAGACAGGGTCTCATTCTGTCACCGAGGCTGGGGAACAGCAGTGTGATCATAGCTCAATGAAGCCTCCAACTGCTGGGCTGAAATGATCCTCCCACCTCAGCCTCCTGAGTAGCTAGGACTACAGGTATGTGCCGCCAGCCTGACTCTAAAAGTTTTTTTTTTGAGACAAGGCCTGGCTCTGTCACCCAGGCTGGAGTGCAGTGGCGTGGTCTCAGCTTACCGCAACCTCTGCCTCCTGGGCTCAAACCATCCCCCCACCTCAGCCTCCCAAGTAGCTGAGATTACAGGCATGCACCACCACACCTGGCTAATTTTTGTATTTTTGTACAGATGGGGTTTCAACATGTTGCCCAGGCTGGTCTCAATCTCCTGAGTTCAAGCGATCCTCTCACCTTGGCTTCCCAAACTGCTTGGATTACAGGCATGTGCCACCACATCCGGCCTAAAAGTTTTTAAGAATAATAAGCAAAGGTAGATGTGTATGTGTATGATACTGTCATGGTGACATTTGTCCAAACCTACAGAATGTACCAAGAGTGAACACTGTGGACTCTGGTTGATGGTGACGCATCAATGCAGTTTCTACAACTGTGACATATCCACCCCTGTGGAGCGAGAGGTCTGCAGTGGGGAGGCTGTATGTGTATGCAGGGAAAAAGGGGTGTATGGAAACTGTACCTTCCACTTAATTTTGCTGTGAACCTAAAACTGCTTTGAAAAATAGTCTATTTTTAAAAGGCACATGTTTCAATTACATTTTCCATCAACAACAACTGAGAGGGTTGGGAATGATGACGGGTGTGGACAGCCCCTGGCCCCACTCACCTGGTGCACATCCCTCCTGTATCCGGCATCGTTGTTGCTGCCCCCGATCACATACAGCTTGTTGAGGAGGGTCGCCATGCCGTGCCAGGCGCGCCGCACAGGCCCATCAGCCAGTGTGTGCCAAGTGTTGCTGCCTGGGTCGTAGCAGTGTGTCTCTTTCAGGTAATCCTCCCCTCTGCGGCCGCAGGTGATATACATCTTCCCCTCCAGCGTCGCGCCTGCGTGGGCATACACCTGTGTGGAGCCACCAGGAGAAATGGCGTGAGAGGGCAGTAAGGAAGGGTGGCTGGGTACTCTGTCAAGGCCAATCACCACCCCACATCTGCCTGACAACACTGTGAGGCTGCACCACTTCCCACTTACTCCTCACATACAGACAAGAATCCTCCCTCGATTCTCATGGGACATACTGTCTTTGTCACTGACTTCTAACCTCTTCCCAATAGGGGATACATCTATAGACTCAGAGATGAAATGTAACCTTTGTCTTTCCTTTGCCCCTAAAGTTAACATCTGCATGGGGGAACTCCAAGAAAATAAAAACAGTTTTTTCAAGCCAGTCTGGGAGAAGCCACAGAACCCTGGGGACTGCTGACCTGCCCTCAGAGGCCTGCACCCCTCTCCCACTCCCACTGGACATGCAATCCTCCGGGCCTGCTGACCCTGCTTTCAAAATCTGTTTGTAAATAATATCTGACATCAAACTTATTATGTGGGGAGAAAAATACACATGGCTCTGGATCCTGGTCCTGAATCTTTTGTGGGCTTTTTACCTTCCCTCTGGTGGGCTATCTCTACAGGCCCAGCCTGCCCCCATCACGGGAACCTCTTACCTTGGCCCCAAGGTAAGAGAACCCACCCCTCACACCGAGCAGGCCAACAGAAGGCCCCAAGGCAAGGCCCTGGGTGTTTTGAGGGTAGAGGAGCCCCTCAGGGTGTGAAGCCTCCAGAGCTATGTCACCGGGCAAGTCACTAACACTGAGGCCATGCGGGCGACAAAACAAGAGTCTAGAGAGGTGGACAAAGCAGTGGGGAGGACGAAAACACACCAAGGGTTTGGTTTAGGTCTTCTCCTATCACCAATAAGGGTCTGGGGGGGGGTTTTCTTTTTTTTTTAGACGGAGTCTCGCTCTGTCACCAGGCTGGAGTGCTATGGCGTGATCTCGGCTCACTGCAACCTCCGACTCCCTGGTTCAAATGATTCTCCTGCCTCAGCCTCCCAAGTAGCTGGGATTACAGGCATGCACCACTAAGCCCAGCGAATTTTTGTATTTTTAGTAGAGATGGGGTTTCACCATGTTGGCCAGGATGATCTCGATTTCCTGACCTTGTGACCTGCCTGCCTCAGCCTCCCAAAGTGCTAGGATTATAGGCATCAGCCACCACACCCAGCTGAGGTTTTTCTTTTGAATTAAACTTTTAATTTTGAGATAAGTGTAGAGTAACGTATAGTTGGAAGTAACAATACAGAGGTCCCATGTGCCTTCCTTCCGCAATGGTAAGAGCCTGTGTCACTATATCACAGTGTCACCAGGATGCTGACACGGACACAGCCACCAGGATCCCAAGGGGCTGCCCTTTAGGGTGACATCCACTCCACCTCCCTTACTCTAATCCCTTCCTTAAGCCCTGGAAACCACCAATCTCTTCTCTATTTCTACCATTTTGTAACTTCAAGAGTGTTGTCTGAATTAAATCAGTATACAACCTTCTGACATTGGCTTTCTACCCCAACCCAGGTTCTACCAAGTTATTGCATGTACACGTTGAGTACATTCAAAATCTGAGACTTTTTGAGTACATACATGGCACTCAAACGAAATGCATTTCAGACTTTTGGATAAGAAATGTTAAAGCAGTAACTATAATGCAAAGATTCCAAAATCTGAAAAAATCTGAAATCCAAAACACTTCTGGTCCCCAGCATTTCAGATAAGGGGTATTCAACATGTACCAATAGTTAGTTCCTTTTCTATTGCTGAGTAGTATTCCATGTGTATCCACCACAGCTTGTTTAACCATTCACTGTTGAAAACATCTGATTTGTTTCCAGTTTCTGGCTATTACCAATAAAGCTACTATTAATCTTCATGTACAGGTAAGTTTTTAAAAATTTTTTATTTTTTGAGACAGGATCTTGGTCTATTGCCCATGCTGGAGTATAGTGGCAAAATCTTGGCTCACTGCAACTTCTGCCTCCTGGGTTCAAGCAATTCTCATGCCTCAGCCTCCCGAGTAGCTGGGATTACAGGCACGCATCACCATGCCTGGCTAACGTATACAGAGTAGTTTTCATTTCTCTAGGATAAACACCCAGGATGGTAACTGCTGGGTCACATGATAGTTGGAAGAACTGCCAGATCTGTTTTCCAGAGTGGCTGTACCATTTCACATTCCTATCAGCAATGCATGAGCATAGTTTCCCTGCACAGTCACCAGTATTTTGTACTGTCACTACTTTTTATTTTAGTCATCCTGAGGTAGTTCTCTCACTGTGGCTTTAATCTGCATCTCCCTAATAGCTAATAATGTTACACATCTCCTTATATGCTTATTTGCCATCTGTATATCCTCTTCAGTGAAATGCTTCTTCAACTCTTTTGCCTTCTTTTTTTTTTTTTTTGAGACAGAGTCTCGCTCTGTCACCCAGGCTGGAATGCAGCGGCATGATCTCGGCTCACTGCAAGCTCTGTCTCCCAGGTTCACGCCATCCTCCTGCCTCAGCCTCCCGAGTGGCTGGGACTACAAGGCATCTACCACCACACCCAGCTAATGTTTTCTATTTTTAGTAGAGACGGGGTTTCACTGTGTTAGCCAGGATGGTCTCAATCTCCTGACCTCGTGATCCACCCGCCTCGGCCTCTCAAAGCGCTGGGATTACAGGTGTGAGTCACCGTGCCCAGCTTCTTTTGCCCTCTTTCTAATGGGGTTATTTGCAGTATTTTGCCAAGGTTTTGTTTTGTTTTGAGACGGACACTCACTCTGTCGCCCAGGTTGGAGTGCACTGTCTCCGCTCACTACAACCTCCACCTCCCAGGTTCAAGCGATTCTCCTGCCTCGGCCTCCCAAGTAGCTGGGATTACAGGCATGTGCCACTGTGCCCGACTAATTTTTGTATATTTAGTAGACACGGGGTTTCACCATGTTGGCCAGGCTGGTCTCGAACTCCTGACCTCGTGATCCGCCCACTTTGGCCTTTCAAAATGTTGGGATCACAGGTGTGAGTCACCGCGTCTGGCCTTTCATTGAGTTTTAAGAGTTGTTTATATATGTATTTATTTAATACTAGTCCTTTGTCAGATAGGTGGTTTGCAAATATTTTTTAATTTTGATGGAGTCCAGCTTATCAATTTTTCTTTTTATGGCTCATACTTTTTTTTTTTTTTTTTTTTTTTTGAGACGGAGTCTTGCTCTGTAGCCCGGGCTGGAGTGCAGTGGCCGGATCTCAGCTCACTGCAAGCTCCGCCTCCCGGGTTTGCGCCATTCTCCTGCCTCAGCCTCCTGAGTAGCTGGGACTACAGGCGCCCGCCACCTCGCCCGGCTAGTTTTTTGTATTTTTAGTAGAGACGGGGTTTCACCGTGTTAGCCAGGATGGTCTCGATCTCCTGACCTCGTGATCCGCCCGTCTCGGCCTCCCAAAGTGCTGGGATTACAGGCTTGAGCCACCGCGCCCGGCCTATGGCTTATACTTTTGGGGTCAAGTCTAAGAATTCCTTGCTCTAGCTAGATCCTCAAGATTTTCTTCTGGTCATCACATCACACGGCCGCCGCAGGGACCAGACCCAGACGGCTCCAGAGCCACTGCGCCCAGGGGGTGGGAGGGTGGGCGACGGTGGCGACGCTTCGGCTCCTCCTGAGCTGCCTGCTGGCCCCATGCCCCACTCCATCCTCACAGGCTGGGGATGGGCCCTGGCGCGGCTGTGTGGTTTCAGGAGCAGAGTTGCAGAATCCAAGGACCCATTTTGTTCTTTCTCTACACTGCTTTATGGGAGGCATTATGGCCCCCAAAGACATAATGACAAATACTCATGCTAAATCCATCCTCAATTCAATGAACTCCCTCAGGAAAAGCAATACCCTATGATGTGACATTGAGAGTAGAGCAGAAAGACTTCCCTGCCCATTGGATTGTGCTGGTTGCCTGTAGTGATTACTTCTGTGCCATGTTCACTAGTGAGCTTTCACAGAAGGGGAAACCTTATGTTGACATCCAAAGTTTGACTGCCTCTACCATGGACATTTTATCGGACTTTGTGCACACAGAAACAGTACATGTGACAGTGGAGAATGCACAAGAACTGCTTCCTGCAACCTGTCTGCTTCAGTTGAAAGGTGTGAAACAAGCCTGTTGTGAGTTCTTAGTCAGTTGGACCCTTCTAATTGCCTGGGTTATTAGGGATTTTGCTAAAACCCCAATTGTGTTGACCTGATGCAAGCAGCCAGAAGCATTTTCCTGAAGTGGTGTAGCATGAAGAGTTCATTCTTCTGAGTCAAGGAGGGGTGGAAAAGCTAATCAAGTGCGATGAAATTCAGGTGGATTCTGAAGAGCCAGTCTTTGAGGCTGTCATCAACTGCCTGAAGCACGTCAAGAAACAGCGGGAAAAACCCTTGCCTAACCTGCTACAGTATGTGCGGATGCCCCTGCTAACCCCCAGGTATATCACAGATGTAACAGATGCTGAGCCTTTCTTCCGCTGTAGTTTACAATGCAGGGATCTGGTGGATGAAGCAAAGAAGTTTCATCTGAGGCCTGAACTTCAGTGTCAGATGCAGGGACCCAGGACAAGGGCTCACCTAGGAGCCAATGAAGTGCTTTTGGTGGCTGGGGGCTTCGGAAGCCAGCAGTCTCCCACTGACGTGGTAGAGAAATACGACCCTAAGACTCAGGAGTGGAGATTTTTGCCAAACATCACTCGTAACAGACATTATGTGGCCTCAGTGTCCCTACATGACCGAATCTACATTATTGGTGGCTATGATAGCTGTTCCTGCCTTAGTTCAGTGGAATGTCTAGACTACATAGCAGATGAGGATGGGGTCTGGTATTCTGTGACCCCGATTAATGTCTGACAAGGTCTTGCTGGAGCCACCACCCGGGGAGATATGATCTGTGTCTCTGGAGACTTTGATGGAAGCAGGTGTCACACCAGTATGGAGTGGTATGATCCAAACATTGACCAGTGGAGCATGCTGGGAGATATGCAGGCAGCCCAGGAAGGTGCTGGACCCGTAGT